CTTGGGAAAATAGCCGAATTTAGCGGCTTCTAGAAATTCAATTCAAGGTGGCCTATAACCCTTGTTGAAGACAGCCATAATAGTGTTATCGCAGACTGCCCCCTGTGTTGGTCCAATGTAATTAGCGCTAGCGGATATATTTAATGGATTAGCCTAGCTTTATTTACTGGAGCGAAATCCGCTTTAACGGTCTCCACCAGACAAATAAGCCCGTGGTCATAATTATTTTTCTAAACCAACGGATGCTGTATTTTCGAACGCCCCAATTTACACATTGTTAAAAAAACGCTGGCCTTTGTTTTCCATCATGTCTGGCGGGTCGAAGTTCCCGACGCTCTTTCAATAAGCACGCGCTAATGTATACCGTTTAATGTAATAGAGAAAAGAGCTTGGGATAGTGTTCTATAAGGCAGTTGCCATATTCTTCGGCAGTTAAGCACGTTCTCCAAGTACCGCTTAGCGTCCATTTGTAACAAAGACCTTTTGCTCGGACATGGGAGGGGACTGTGTGGAATTTGACCTTGTTAACAGGAGAAGGACAGTTTCCCACCTCTTTTAATTTTTTTTATCTCGCTCGAGGCTGATAAAAGACAGAATAAAAGACATCAGTTGATCTCACCCGATTCAAGTCTCACGGACGGATAGTGCTAGAATGCACGAATTCTTAACGCGTCAAAGAGGAAATAACATTGAAAACATGTATCATGATATAAACTTGTATCAAGTTGTTTTCATTATTTTTGACCACCTCCGAGATTTGTGTTGCCTAGTTCAATAGTTAAACGTTAACAGAAGACGATTCTTAGCTCCTATTATATTAAAGACATTCAAGGGTCATTCAACTCTGTAAATCACCTCTTTTCATGTAATTTGATTTATTTCCACTCGGGGATTTGACTTCTGAGGTCAGAACCCGAGGAGGCATCTTTGGAGTTCCCATGAAAATAAAGAGATAAATGTTTATGTTAGTATACAAGGGATATATATACTCAGAGTAGGTGTGCAACGCTTTCGAGTGTAATATCTAACGAGTCATTTTCTTGGTATTCACACGAGCCTTTACGCGCCGAGTGTGTATACCAAGAAAAAACGAGTGACAAGTAGGATCAGATTCTAAGGTATACCACGAGAAAGTGTTACATAACTATTTTATGCCACGTCATGGAAATACGGTGGTCGACACAGTTAATGCAGCGCAAGTTAGGAAGGCTGGGTGTAATATCGTCAAGTATACAACTGCTTTCCTGTATTCTGATTGGCTACATTTTCTATGGCATGATATAAAGATTTGCATATGGAGTAAATCATGTCAGTTGAACAGCGAGGTTCGTGGAGGTCTCAGTGGAACTTTCTAGGCAGTCCACATGAGTCACAGGCACGGTTGTGTTGTGCGAACGTTTTGTGAGTTGTTTTGAATTAGTTCTCTTGAATATTCACCAGGTTGCGAGGAAAAATAAATCTTTTGAGTACCCGAATTGAAAAAATCAAGCCAGAACTTAATTGTTTAGAGAAAAAAATCGACAGACTAGATGACAATACCAGAATTGACACTGTAAAAGAGCTTCTGGTGTAAAATATTACAAGTTTTGCACTCTTCTGGACTCCAAGTAAGGACCCTGGATGGGCAGGGAATACCTTTCGTCGACCAGACTTTCTATTAAACTTCTTCCAGTTTCACTTTGCTACAGCCTTTAAGTTTAAAGCAAAATCTCTCGCATAGACCTGAGCCTATAGTTACGAGAGCTCATACTTAAATGGATAAACGAGGTTAATCCAGAGATTCTCGGTTTATAATAGCGCTTTATGGCACCAGTTTACATTGCTCGTATTGACAGAGTATTCTTTAATTAATTAATTAATCAATTAATTAATTGATTGATTGATTGATTGATTGATTGCTTGATTGATTGCTTGATTGATTGCTTGATTGATTAGTACTCTAAACTAGCTGTAAAGATCCGTATACGTAAATTCTTCGTTGCTTGAACAGTATATCCACCTCAGTGGAAAATTACTTTCACTTCGAATAACGATTGCAATCGAAATCCACACAGCTAAGAGATTTGCACTTTTACTGGCGATTCGCGTAAAACAAATGTACATAAACAAGCTAAATATACAGAGCTGGAAACCAAAACGAAATATAAATAGAGCAAGCAAAAATGACGGAAAAATTACGAAACGTTCAAGATTTGTGTGGCGACTACGACAACTAAACGCAAAATATAATGACAACGGCAACTAAAAGACTAACGGCAGAAGAAGCTATAAAGAACAAAAAAAACAACGGATGACANATAAACGAGGTTAATCCAGAGATTCTCGGTTTATAATAGCGCTTTATGGCACCAGTTTATATTGCTCGTATTGACAGAGTATTCTTTAATTAATTAATTAATTAATCAATTTAATTAATTGATTGATTGATTGATTGATTGATTGGTTGATTGATTAGTACTCTAAACTAGCAGTAAATTCTTCGTTGCTTGAACAGTATAGCCACCTCAGTGGAAAATTACTTTCACTTCGAGTAACGAAATCCACACAGCTAAGAGATTTGCACTTTTACTGGCGATTCACGTAAAACAAATGTACATAAACAAGCTAAATATACAGAGCTGGAAACCAAAACGAAATATAAATAGAGCAAGCAAAAATGACGGAAAAATTACGAAACGTTCAAGATTTGTGTGGCGACTACGACAACTAAACGCAAAATATAATGACAACGGCAACTAAAAGACTAACGGCAGAAGAAGCTATAAAGAAGAAAAAAAAACAACGGATGACAAAAAATGCCCACGAAAATATGGAACGCTGTGCGTAACCGAAATAACTGGCGAAACTAATTACTGCAACAAATACACACGGAATAGACTAAAAACCAAAGGACTGAAACGTGAAAGGACAACAAAATTGAGGTTCCGTGACTACAACGATTTCTATAAAAGCTGCTTATGCAAATAGGTCTTTAAATTTCAATCTCATTTCCTAGAGATCTAAGATCCACAGTTCCTATTGATTAACGTTGATTAATTGCCCGGTTCTCGAGCTTAAGTATAATGATTGACTTCTCACCATCAAAGGATGTGCGTCAAAGCCCCTGATGAAGGACGTGGAAGGGTTTGGAGGGGAGAGTTGTCTTGAATTTCGAAATCATAGTTGAGACGATTCTATAGATTAAAACTGTCCTGTTCGTGAACTTTCAGCCAAAAATCTTAAACGTAACCTCTAACTTTCAGCTTGCTGATCGGAAAACTGCTAATTTTGCGTCCTCTTTAATTTCAAGGTAATTGAAATTTGGAAATGTTAGTTAATCGCATTTTTGATCACTATATATAACTTTTGATTTGTTTGTATGCAAACTTTTATCTGTAATGCGGATCAGCTACTAGCCAATTTGCCCTACGAGGCTTAGGTAATTTATGATTAGGATTGTATAAGTCAATTTTCCTTGGACGGGTACTGTTACGATAATTCAGAAACAGCTTTTCTTGAGCCATGCAAGACATGAGTAGATATAGATCGTTTGGACCAGTCATGGTGTGTTCACACGTTGCTCATTTGGGTAGAAAGACTATTTCTAGTTCCCACTTGATTCGGTTCTTTGTGGCATCGAATCTGCCTAAAACAGCAGCAGGCCAAGGGCGACAGCTGGGTGTATCTCTTTCTGAATTCCTTGTCGATGCCAGCGTAAATTCCGGGTTTGATGGCTGCATAGATGCCTTTCGCGATCTCAATGGCAAATGCCACATATTCGTAATATTCGCCGCCGATGCAAGCGGAACCTACACATACATACCAAAACATCATTTCGATTATCGATAAGACGACGAAGAGTGTCGATGCTACACCCGTGATCTTCGCCTCTTCTCGCGTCGTTTCGAAACTTTCTTCTTGGTCAGGTTCATCGACACTGATGGTACCATCATCTTCTTGATCAACATGAACGTCATACATGCCGTTAGCTTCGTCGACTTCATTTAAGTTTTTATTTCCATTGGACATCTCTATCAAAGTTTCAGAGGGGTTGCTTGAATTATTCTGTTGTTGCGGGATCGCTCCAGCAGGAAAATATTTTCCATCTGGCTGGCACCAGCCGTTGTTCGATAACATGGGCTCCTGTTGGGCGTCGTTTCTCCATTGCTCGACTTTGGCATATTTCTTGTCCCCGATACACTTCTTTCGGCCCCCTTCTTTCATTTCTCCAGCCCTCCTTGCCTCTCGTTTGCGCTTGATTTCTCTCTTCCTCCGCCTAACCCGAAAAAATACGACAGGATTTAGAATCGTCAAAATCACATCACCTGACACCATAAACACGAACAAGTGAATTTTGTCCATCATAATAAGTGTGTCCTCTTTAGTCGGATCAACATAGCAGAAGTTGCTTTCAACCTTGCCTATTGCAATGTACATGATCGACGGGGTAGCGGCGAAGATCCAGAAGAAAACTATCAATCTTGCGCTGAATTTTCCTGTGTGTTCCTTTCGGCCTTTGGAAGACAAATTTCTGGACACATGGAAAGCCAGAGCCACCAGGCTGAGAATAAGAACCCTGTCAGGTATTTGAAAAAGAAAGCGGTACAGCTTACACAAAACATCACCGGGGGGACCTTCAACAACCCAGATGTATTTACCATGGTGAAAATTGACAAACTCTACCGGGTGTAATAGCAGGGTCGTCGAAATATCTGCACACGCCATGTTGATAAGAATGTACTGTGAAAACATTTTTCTCCCATTCTTGATGCTCTTGCACAGAATATAAATGGCAATGCTGTTTTCTATTAAACAGGCAATGAAGAGGACCACTCGTACAGCCAGACTGATGTTTTTGAAGAGTGCATTT